CTGAGTGTCTCTCTCCTAGGGGTGGATTTGGTCCCCATTAAGCCCATCCCCAACGTGGTGACGCTGCAGGAGGACATCACCACGGAGAAGTGTCGCCAGGTAATTCCCACCCCACAATGCCTCCTGAACCCCGACAGCCGGACACTTTAGCGCATCTCCCCCGGCCCTGTTTCTGGGGGGATGGGGGTCATCATGTTCACCCACCCCCTAGAGGCCTCTCTGTGGTGGGATCCCCGAGCCACCCACCCTGGTTTCCCTTGGGGGGAGTGGGTAGGACCCTTGGGTTTGGCTCAGCCCTGGGACGCAGGTTCTGTAGGCTGGAGGGAGCGTTGGTCTTGGGGGGTTGGAGGGGAGGCCTGGCGTGGGGGGAGGGGCGGCAGGCTCACTGTGCCCTCGCCCCCCTCCCCCACTCTGCTGTAGCGAATGTGAGGGGGCTGTCCTGGCAGGGAGGGTGTCCCAGGCTCACCCCCTGCCCTCGCCCCCCAGGCCGTGCGCAAGGAGCTGCAGACGTGGAAGGTGGACGTGGTGCTGAACGACGGGGCCCCCAATGTGGGGGCCAGCTGGGTGCATGACGCGTACTCCCAAGGTACCTCCCCCCTCGCCTGGCGGCCCCGGTCCCTGTGACAGCCGAGGGTTCAGCTCCATCCCTGGAGCTCCCCGGGTCCAGCTCAGCAGTCCTGTGTCCCATCGCCCCCAGTGCAGGAGCAAAGGGCCCTCTGGGGCCGGCCCAGTTACAAGGGATCGGGACCCAGCACTGTCGGTCGTGTGCTCCAGAGCAGAGAGCGGCAGGAGGCCTGGGCCCCGTGGAAGTGTCAGACAGACGCCCCAGGGGAGGGAAAGGAACGCGCCGTGCCAGGCGAGTGCCTGTGGGGTTGTCTCCTCAGTAGACCCAGGGCTGAGTCCGCCCCGCCCCCTGCCCCATCCTTCCCCTCAGGTACCACGACAAGCACCGTGGGAACCAGAATCAAGCTGGATCCTGCTCCCTAGCCATGCCCCGGTCTGCCGCGCTTGGAGCCACTGGGAGCGAAGGCTCAACGGGGTTGGCTTTGGCGCTGATCCATCTCCATTCTCCACTCCAGCCAACCTGACGCTCATGGCCCTGAAGTTGGCCTGCGAATTCCTTTCCAAGGGCGGCTGGTTCATCACAAAAGTCTTCCGCTCCCGCGACTACCAGCCCCTCCTGTGGATCTTCCAGCAGTTGTTTCGCAAGGTGCAGGCCACCAAGCCGCAGGCCTCCCGCAACGAGTCGGCCGAGATCTTCGTCGTCTGCCAGGGTGAGCTGGGGCCGGGGGTTGCTGGGTGGGAAGGGAGTGGGGGTTGCTGGCTGACACCTCTAATCCTTTACTTTTCCCTCTCCCAGGATATCTGTCCCCAGATAAAATTGACAGCAAATTCTTTGATCCCAAATTTGCCTTCAAGGAAGTTGAGATTCAGGCCAAATCTGTGAGCGAGCTGGTGACCAAAAAGAAACCAAAGGTACAAGTGAGCAGTCCGGGGGGCTTGGCTGTGAGGGGAGGCCCTTTGGGGCAGGGAGAGCAGCCCCCAGGGATGAGGAGAGGGGTCCACAATTTAGAGTGGGACTGGGGGAGGCTGTGGCGCTTGGACCCTGCCAAGTGGAGCCTGCTGCTTACTCATCCCGTCTGGCTAGTAATGTATATGCTTGGCGCTTCAAACGTGCTAATTTCCCAAAGCCAAGGAAAACTATGAGTGAAATTGCCTGGGAGGAAAAATGTAGGCAGGAAAATTGATGAAAATTAGGAGCCCTTTTAAAAAAGGGTGTATTACATGGTCAAAAAGCCATGATTCTACAGTCAAGAAAGAACATGGCCTAAAATCCCATCCTGGTTCAGTGGTGAAGGGAAAGTGACCATTAGACATAAAGTAATAGATAACACATGGAAAAAAGGGGAAATGCATAGCAATGGGTATAAATTAGAAGTTATGGAGGGTAGAAAGTTGATAAGGGAAACTAAAGAGATCAGGGTAAACTCCCTGGCTTTCATAGCTAAGGACAATAAAGAGTTTAAGGATATTAGGAACAAAACAAATGCTAGCAATGGTATAGGCTTATTACACTAGGAGGAGATGGTAAAGTTGTTAATATAGAAAAGGCAGAAAAGTGTTTAATAAATATTTGTGTGTTTGGCAAGAAGCAGGATTATGATCTCGTATTACATGAAAATGGTGAAGTACTTTCTAGTCCGTTAGCAACCAAGGTGGACGTTAGAAAGCATCTACCAGGAACAAACATTTTTAAATCAGCAAGTCACTAGCAACCAAAAAGTCCTAAAAGAGCTGGCTGAAAAAATCTCTAACCTACTGATGTTAATTAATGCCAGTTAATGTGATGGGGGGGTTGGGGGTGTCTTGTCAAACAAACGTGATTTCATTCTTTGAAAGGTACTTGTCTTAGCACTGTACAACATTCTAACTGTAAACGTAGCGCTGTGCCGTACCTGCAAAGCACGCAGGAAGTGGATTAAGACCTGGCAAACTGACAGATCTCAAAAGGCGTCATCGTCTAATGGGCGAGTGTCCAGAGGGCTTCCGCAGGGCCTGGTACTAGGCCTGACCTCATTCAACATTTTCATCAGTCTGGAAGCAAATAGCAAACGTGCAGCTGAGCCAAAGATTTGTGGAGTGAGGCCCCAGGTGTTGTAATACAGCCAAAGGCAAGGTCGTGTCTAGGGCCGTACCTGCGGAATGGGGGCCTGCGTCCTGGAAAGCAGGGAGTCTGGACAGGACCTAGGAGTCCTCGTGGACAAGCAGCTGCCCGTGAGCTCCCGGGGCGATGCTGACGTGACCCGTGGCTGTGTGAAAAGGGGAGTCGGAGCAGAGTTCGGTGCAGCACTGCTGGGACCGACGCTGGAGATCACACCCCGGTCTGGGGTCCGCATTTGAGAAGGATGTTGACATTTTAGAGAGGGTGCAGAAAAGAGCCACAAAATCGATTCGGGAGCTGGCGAACAGGCCGGAGAGTGACACACACACAGCTCAGTATGTTTTGCTGATCACAGAGCGGACTGAGAGTTGACTTGACGACAGTGATTTGATCTTGATGGGGAGAAAATACCGGCGACTAACGGGCTCGTTAAGGGCGACAGGCAGAACGAGAACCCCTGGCTGGAAGCTGACGTTAGACACGTTTGAGTTAGAGATGAGGCAGGACGTGTTCCCTGAGCGGGCGATTGGCCATTGGAACAAACTGCCCGGGGAAGTGGGGGGCCCCATCTCGGTGTCGTCGGCTCCAGGCTGGAGGCTTCTGGCAGGAGCTTCAGACACTACAAGCCGTTGGGCTCCATATGGGTGTGAGGGGGGAAGTGAAATGGCTGGGCTAGGCCAGAGCTCAGACTAGCTGATCTAATGGCCCCTGCCGTGAATCTACGGCTCTGACCCCATCCTCCCGTCTCGCAGGCGGAGGGATACGCAGAAGGTGACACGACGCTCTATCACCGCTTCACGCTGATGGATTTCCTCAAGGCCCCCAACCCTGTGGATTTCCTCTCCAAGGCCAATGAGGTGAGTGCCCAGGGCCAGGCCAGCCCCGTGGGAGCGGAGCAGGGAGGGCCCACAGCCTGGGCTTGGCTCAGCCCCTCTGCTGGACACCGGCAGGGCACTTAGCAGCACCCAGGAGCTTGCTGGTGGGACCCACGGCCTGGACTTGGGGCAGGGGAAGAGTTGCGAGGGCTGCTGGTCTCGGGAAGGAGACAGCTGCAGCCTTTCCCCTTTGGCTCCTGTGCAGATCACGCTGGGGGACAGCGAGCTGGAGCGGCACAGCGCCACCACCGAGGAGCTGCGCCAGTGTTGCCGGGACATCCGCGTGCTGGGCCGCAAGGAGCTCAGGTACCCTGGGTGGGTGGGGGGAGGGGGGCACGCGGCCTGGGCTTGGGGAGTCCGGCACTGCCTGGGGCGGCTGCTTCTAACTCGCTGCCTCTCTGCTCAGGGCCCTGCTGAACTGGAGGACGAAGCTGCGTCGCTTTATGGCCAGGAAGCTGAAGGAGCAGGCCAAGGAGCTGGACATCAGGTAGGAGGAGAAAGGTGGCTTCCCAAATCTGCAACTGCCCCCTCCACGCACACCAGGGGGCGCTCCGTAGCTCGTGCGCGCCAGCTGGTGGCGCTGGGGAGCCTGGCCCCGGGTTGGCTGGGTGGGGCAGGGCCAGGCTGAGTGACTCCATCTTCTGGCAGCTTGAGCTCCGGCGAGGAGGAGGAGGGCGGCGAGGAGGAGGCCGTGAAGACGTCGGGAGCAGCTGGGGATGGAGCCGCAGAGGAGGAGGAGATGGAGCTGAGGCTGGCGGAGCTGAAGGCAGAGGAAGTGGCTGAGCTGAAGAGGTGAGTGCTGCCCTCCCCAGCAAGGGGATCTGGGCACCCAGGGGTGGGGGAACCTCAGTGCTCCTGCTACGGGCATGTGATGGGCCCGTCCTCAGCTGGGCTGGGGTGTCCAGCCAGCAGAAATGCTGCAGGAGGCTCTCCCAGGGTGCCTCCCCCCATCGGTACCCCTATTTGCCCTGTGTCACGGACTCACAGATCGTGCCCACTCTTGGCCCCGTGCGGTCCGTGGGGGGTGCCCCTGTTAGTGAGACAGCCCTTCTCAGGGGTCCACTCTCTCGGGGTCAGGACCCTCCACCTCCTGGAGCCGCGCCTCAGAGCCTTAGCACATCTGTTTCTCGCCGTGGACCCCCTCAGGGAGTCCACTCGCTCTGGACCCCCCGGGCCTTCACCCCCGAAGGGGTTGATGCCACCCTGTTCTCTAGACCTGAGTGACTCTCAGCCAGCATAAAACAGGGGGGTTTATTGAGGGTTGAACACAGCACAGGAAACTCTCAGGGCCTCAGGCCTGGCCTCCCTCAGCCCAGCACATCCCAGTCTCTCTGCATCCAGGTGGGCTCTGCCTGCTCCCTCTCTCCAGCCCAGAGCCCCCCCTGCTTCCCAGCTGGGCATCTGAGATCACCGGCCCCAGGCCCCGCCTCTGTCCATTGTCTTCTCTCCAGATAAACAGGGTCGTAAACTGGGGCCTCCTCTTCTCCGTTCTGTCCTCTGTCTGGAACCGGCTGGTTAGGTCACTGGGTCCTCACTCTGCAGCCCATTGTCCACCCACTGGCCAGAACCGGCTGCGTCTCCTCAGCTGGGCCTCCGGGTCACCGGTCGCTGGGGTATTCATCCTCCCGGCCATCGGCTGGGTTCCCAAGTCCTCTCCAAAACAAACTCCCTCTCCCCTCACCTCGTTAAATGAGTAATACCCAGGGAAACTGAGTCCCACCCCCTCCGCATGCAAACCATTGAAACTCCACAGAAAACAAGAAAACCCCCCACTTCGTCACACCCAGAGTACCCCCATGCGCCTCTCCCTGACCCCCTCCTCTCAGGACTGTTTCTGGGAGCAGTTTCCTTTGGGCTCAGGACCCCAGCCCCAGCCTGGCTCAGACGCTCGCCCACCCCAGCATGGGAGGGAAGCAGAGGCCCTGAGGGGAGTGACTGGCCCAAGCTCCCATGGTCTGCAGCAGAGCTGGGAATAGAACCCAGCAGTCCTGCCAGCCAGGCCTGCTCTGACACACCCCCGCCCGCCGAGAGACCCGGCTCCATGTGTCCCCGGCAGCAGCTGGAGCTCACCGCCTGGTGGCAGCCATGCCGCCCCTGGGGCTGCCCAGTGATCTGCCCCAGCACTCAGGGAGGCACCGTGATGGGTGCCCTCGGGGGTGGGGGGATGGTGCCCCTTCCCCCATGACTGCACAGCTGTGAGAGTTATGGGCCCAGCCCCCCAGCACAGGGGTCTCCATCTGGGGGGGGGGCAGTCAGACAGGCCTGCTGGGAGGCAGGATGGGGCAGCCGGGCTCCCATCCCCGTGATGGCAGCTGTGGGGTTCTGGCTGCAGCGTGACCCTCTCCCCCCCCCGGCGGGAATCCCCCCCAGGAAGAAGAAGAAGATCCTGAAGGAGCAGCGGAAGCAGCGCGAGCGCATCGAGCTGAAGATGGACCTGCCCGGCGTCTCCATCGCCGACGAGGGCGAGACTGGCATGTTCTCCCTCCGAACCATCGGCAAGACCCGGGTGAGGCTGCGGGGGCAGCAGCTGGCTCCCCACCGGCGTGACGGCCCATGTCTGCTCGGGGCAGAGCCGGGGGGTTGGGGGGGCTCGGGAAATGGGCAGGCTACAGGGGAGTGAGCGGGGCTAGGAGAGTGGTGGGTGGGGGCACTCCAGGGGTGTTGGCGAGGCCGGGGGGGGCTGGGCTGGGAGAGCGGCGGGGGATGATTTGATTTCTGTGGGGCCTGGCTCCTGACCCTCGCTCCCTGCTCCTCAGCTGCTGAATGAGGTGGCCAGGGGCGATATGGCGTCTGCGGACGCCTTCCTGGAGGCGCCGCACGAGGACGACGACGTGACCTTCTCGGAGCAGGACGACGCGGACGACGTGTCTCTGGCCAGCGACCTGGACTCGGACGAGCTGGCCGACATCGAGGAGCGGCTGCAGGAAGCCAAGCGGGGGCTGGGCCCAAAGAGGTCAGAGCCACTGTGGGGAGCGGGGGGCAGGTGAGGGATCCTGGCAGCTGCAGTAAACTCCCCCCGGTTGGAGCAACTTGGGGGCCGTGAAAACCGCATCACAGACAATGAAATCTGGTCTCCCCTGTAATAACATCTGGTCTGTTGTGAACTTTTACCGTAAGCAGCGTTTCACAAACCAGGGCTCCCGACCCGGGAGGGGGGCGTGGCATCGCCACTCCTACTTCTGCGCTGCCTGGAGAGCGGCGGCTGCTGGCTGGCTTCCCAGCTCTGAAGGCAGAACAGAAGTGAGGGTGGCATGGTATTGGGGGGTCGTCACTTTTTGGGGGAATTGGCATGGGCTTTACATCTTTTGCCATTTTTAAATACATGTTCATGCTTTGTTACAACACCGTGAAATTTACATATCTGAAACCGGGACAGTCAAGCTTTTAAAAATGCTATGAGTGAAATTTACGAAAACGATGTGAATTTGGTAGGGCCATGGCCATGAGGGGTGCTGGGCAAACGACAGCCTCTCTACTCTGGGCTCCCAGTAGGGGGCGCTGTGACTGGCTGGGGTGATGACCAGGTGGACGGGGTCAGCCTGCCTGGCCCTTAACCCTCGCAGCACCACTGCGGTGGGAGGCTCTGCCCCTTTCCCAGGGGTTGGAGCCAGGTGGGCAGCTAAGTGCCCCTCAACCCAGGGAGCCCTGTGCCAGGCAGCCCGGCTGCCCCCGCCGGGCCCCTGTCCGTGGCCCCGGGGCCGAGCGTGCCCGGCTACCCCCACCGGGCCCCGGTCCGTGGCCCTGGGGCTGAGCGTGTCCGTCTGGCTGTGTTGCAGAGGGACCTTCCAGCAGCCGGCAGAGGAGGAGGGGGAGGAGAATCCCCTGCTGGTGCCCCTGGAGGAGAAGTCGGTGCTGGAGGAGAGGCAGACCAACCTGTGGTTCGGGAAGGTGAGTGCCCCAGTTGGCCGGGAAGTGCCAGGCCCTGAGGTGGGGGGTGTCCCAGCCCCTGTGCAGCGGCTCCAGCCTCACCTGGGCCCACCTGCCCTCTGCTGGCTGGAGCAAGGTCTGCACTGGCTCTGGCCTGTCGCCCTCTGGTGGCAGCGCAGCGTGTGTGAGCCGTGGTGCTAATGGCTGGCAGGAGACTCTTGAGCTCCCCCAGGGAGACCTGGCTGGGGAGTTACAGGGGCCAGAGTCTCCCCACGTGGGCTGCAGGGACCCCAAGGATGGGGGGAGCGCAGTGAAAGCAGCCCACGCACGAGGGCCTGCGTCCTTACCTCAAACATCCCCTCGCTCCCTCCTCCCAGCTCCCCACGTGTCTCCCCCTACCCCCATCCCTGCCAGCTCCCTGCCATTCATGTGTCTCCTGCTGCCCCCTCCCACCAGCTCAGCCTTGCCCTCTGTGACCAACCCCTCCCTGTCCCTAGGAGGTCTTTGCCGGCATTGAGGACGATGTGGACGAGGCCCTGGAGATCAGCCAGGCGCAGGCGCTGTCCGAGAGGAAGGAGCCGCCGCCAGGTGAGAAGGGGGCCGTGGCGTGCACGGGGCCGGCTGTCCCTGGGGGTGGCGCCTGTCAGGGTTCCCTCCCCACTCTGAACTCTGGGGTACAGATGTGGGGACCCACATGAAAAACCCCTAAACTTATTTTTACCAGCTTAGATTTAAAACTTCCGCAAGGCATAAATTCCTTCCTTGCCCTTGGTATTGCTGCCACCACCAAGTGATTTAAACAAACATTCAGGAAGGGCCACTTGGAGCCCAAAATATCCCCCCAAGCCCCTACACCCCCTTTCCTGGGGAGGCTTGAGAATAATATCCTCACCAATTGGTTATAAAGTGAGCACAGATCAACCCCCCTGGGTCTTTAGGACACTGAAAAACAATCAGGTTCTTAAAAGAAGTTTATTTTAGAAAAAAGATAAAAGAATCACCTCTGTAAAATCAGGATGGAAGATAACTTTACAGGGTAACAAAAAGATTCAAAACACAGAGGATTTCCCCTCTAGGCAAAACTTTAAAGTTACAAAAACAGGGATAAACCTCCCTCTTAGCACAGGGAAAATTCACAAGCTACAACAAAAGATAATTTAACGCATTTCTTTGCTATTACCTACCATTTTTGCAAGACTAGATGCTTAGTTCAGATATGGCTTAGGGAGATGTATTTTCCCTGCCCTGGCTCCTCGCTGACCTGGAGAGAACAAAGGAACCCAAAACAAAAACCGTCCCCCACAGATTTGAAAGTATCTTCTCCCCTTATTGGTCCTTTTGGTCAGGTGCCAACCAGGTTATTTGAGCTTCTTAACCCTTTACAGGTAAAGGAGGGATTTTATGCTACTCTTAGCTGTATGTTTTTGGCAGCCAAGCCCTGGAAGGAGCTGGGCCCCCATTGTCCAGGCGAGGAACTGGCCACGGGGTCACAGAAGCAATTGGAGCCCTGGTTCCCTGACCTGCTCTCAGGACCGACTGAATGGGAGGAGCAGCTCGTAAGACGAGCTCAACCCTGCCTCAGCCTCCCCAGGGAAAGGGGCCCCGCCAAACAGGGCAGAGCGCCGGATTCCCCTGAAGGTAGCAGGCTGGCCCCAGGCTGTCCATCCAGCCCTCGTGGCTGGGGCCCCTGGGAAGCAGGATTCCCCCTTATCAGATGCGACGCCCCTCCCAGCTGTGAGCTCCCTTGCGGCCCCCCAGTCCACCTCACCCACTGGCCTTGCTTGTCACACCCAGGGAACGTGAAGGGGAAGGGGCAGAAGAAGCTGCCGCCCCCATCCCAGGAGGCAGCTGCAGTGGAGGTGGGGCCCAGGGCAGCCGTGGGGGCTAGTCCCAGCGAAGACCAGGGTGAGGGGAGCAGCGGCGAGGAGGACTCTGACAGCAGCAGCGACGACGAGAGGTGAGCAAACGGGGGTCGCTGGCCTGCCCGGTGGGGGGGGGGGGGGGAGCAGGGGGCCCGGGCCCCTGGACTCTATACAGTGGGAGGGATGAGCTGGGAGGGGGCTGCCCTTCCCGCCCAGTCCTGAGCACCGTCGCCTTGGGGGGCGCTGCATGAGCAGCAGTGACCGTTCCTCTCTTCCCCCCCAGGGAGACGTCGCAGAAGGGAAGGAAGCGGGCGCTCGCCGAGCCAGGTGGCTTTGAGGTGGTGCCCATTGAGGACCCAGGTGAGTTGAATGGGGGCTGTGTGCAGGGAAAAGCAGCCCTGCTGGGGTGTCTGCACCCCTGGACACCAGCATGGAGCTCAGGGCTAGGTGGTGGGCACAGGCCCAGCTGGCAGGAGAGGGGCATAAGGCCATGAAGGTTTCTGCTCCTGGGGAAATTCTGTGCCACTGCGCATGCGCAGAATTTATGTGCCCCACAGATTTCTTTGCTTCCCTGCAGAAAAATGACTTTCTGACGGGGAAGCAAAGGGAAGCCCCAAGAGTGGTCATGTGACCCTCCCCAGCAGTATGTTTCGGGTGCCCAGGGCAGCCGGCAGAGAGGTAAATCACTGTGGGGCAGGGGGTGGGACTGGGGAAGACCTGGCTGGTGGCTCCTACCCTGCGCTGGGCTCAGCTGCTAGTCCCAGCTGGGCTGGGGAGGACGGGACTTCCTCTTTCCCTGCACGGCATTCGGGGCTGTCAGAGCCTCCCCAGCTGCAGGAAGCTCTGCAAACTCCCCCCACCACCTGCGTGTCCTGCACCCGCTGCTCCTCAGCTGCTGGGGGGCGGATCCATGTACAGGGAGTTGCTCCCCCATCCGCCCAACTGCCGTGCATCCAGACTGCCTCCATACCCAGACCCTCCCGCTGAGTGTCACTCCCCACCCCCCGCACTCAGGATCCCCTCCCGATGACCACCACTCCCCCTGCACCTGGATCCCCGAGCCACCCAGACCCCCGTCCCGCTGAGCCCCAACCACCTTCACCTAGATCCCCCTGCAGAGTCCTATTGCACCTAGAACCCCCAACAAACCCCTGTGCCTCCAGATCCCCACTGAGATTGCCCCGCACAGAACCCTCTCACCCCACACCTGGATCCCCCCACACTGAGCCCTTTCACACTTGGATTCTGCTGGGCTGAGCCTGCCGGCCCACCCTGGCATGGAGGGGCAGGGCCCTGGGGTGTTTCCGGGGCAGGCCTGGTCCTTGTGCTGCGTCAGGGTTGGGTGCAGCCTCACCGCTGAGTCCATGTCCCAGAGGAGCTGCAGGGTGATCTGCCACCTTTGCAGCCAGAGGCCTCTGCTCCCCACGGCCAGGCTGGAGCCTCCACATTTATGTGGCAAATAAAACGTGCAGGATTGGTAGTGGTTTGGTGCACAATGCCTTCGGGAGCGACCGGTTTGGTATACGGAGACGCCAGGGGCGGGTGGGAGGGTTTGTAGCAGCCTGAGCCCTAACGTGCTCGTCTTCTCCCCCCAGTGAAGAGAGCCCGTGTCCTGGATGCAGAGGGGCTTGCGCTGGGGTCTGTCATTGCCACCTCCAGGAAAGCCAAGCGGGACCTGATTGACAACTCCTTCAACAGGTACCGGGGGCAGCAGGCAGCGTGGGGTGGTGGCCGGGGCAGGCCCTGGGGGGGGCGTGGTCAGCTGTGATTTTGAGGGGCCCAGCCCCCCTTGGTTTCTCACTCTTGGGGAGAGAACAGGCTGCGTTGCGGAAGGGGAGATCCCTCATTTGACCCCTTCTCTCCTGCCCTGTGGGTGTGAGCTGTGTCCGGCAGTCACTTCCCGTGGGGGTGGTGTCTCTTCTGTCCGTTAGCCCCGAGGATGGGGGGAGGAGGGGCCAGGCCTGTGCCTGTCCCTGGGGCCTGCCCTCACCTGTCGGGCACCCCTCCCCCAGGTATGCCTTTAACGAGGAGGAGGGGGAGCTGCCCGAGTGGTTCCAGCAGGAAGAGCAGCAGCACCGCCGGAAGCAGCTGCCTCTGGACCGGCAGACGGTGGAGGAATACCGGCAGCGCTGGCGCCAGATCAACGCCCGCCCCATCAAGAAGGTGGCAGAGGCCAAGGCCCGGAAGAAGCGGCGGGTAAGTGAGCCGCATGGCCGGCGTCCCTGGGCGGGTTTCCCATCCCCCACCCTCTACTCTCGCTGCCTGGCCGGGCCCCCCAGCCACCCCCTGACCTCTCCCGTTTCCCCCCAGCTGCTGAAGAAGATGGAGCAGATGAAGAAGAAGGCGGAGGCTGTGGTGAGCACAGTGGATATTTCGGAGCGTGAAAAGGTGGCCCAGCTGCGCAGGTGAGTTACGATGTCGGGATCTACGGCATGGGCAGGGGGTGGTCGGATCTTTCAGAACAACAGAAGCCGGGCCAGGCCGCCATACGGCCATGGGGCCAGGCCGCCATACGGCCAT